AGTGGACTTCAATGGTGGCCAATGGGTTCAAATTGCAGTTTCAACGCAGCTTTAAAGGGCTCTACACGATCCCAGCTGAGGAATATCTAGATTCCTCAGCTTATCTAGAGAAACGACTGGTCATTTTCTAATAAAAATACAAATTTATATAGGTTTTAACAAAACATGCTCTAGCTCAACCTCACACATTACGTAATCATGTACGCGTGACGTAGGCGGAAGTAGCGACCCAGTGTTTACAAAGCAAATGTGCAAAGAAAGTCAAAGGCCCTTTACAAAAAAGGTAAAACAACGATGTCGGACGATTTTGAAGTTGGAGGAGAAAATGACATGGAGTTTTTCTCCCTACCCTACCTTTTAGAACGAAGCACACAGACGAAGAACTAACCACGAGTGACTTTTCCAACATGATTACGTAATGTTTGAAGTAGGGCTGCACGATTAATCGCATGCGATATTTAACATTGAGCAGCATTAACTACACAGAGCCGTTGTTCACTGACGAGCTGCGCTAAACCATGTTCATATTCGTGCGATTTTTTGCGCAGCTCATCAGTGAACAACCGCTGATTACAGAACCGGCTTTACTGATAAGATGCGCGTTAAATATCGCATGCGATTAATCGTGCAGCCCTAGTTTGAAGTCATGGATGCACATTGCAGAGCTAGTGCTAGACAAGAATTTGTGGTTAAAAAAAGTATATAATTTATTTATTTTAAATTGTTTAGAAAATGGCCGATCGTTTCGCTAGATAAGAACTAGGGGTGGTGAAATTAATAGTTTCTTCGATGCATCGCGATGCAGACGAGGACGATTTGGTATCGGTTCAGTAATAGACCATAACCGATTATAACGTACTGACGCTTTTCTGACGTCATTTGTCGCATACGTGCTTTGTCGCAGTAGCATACATTAGGCACGTTCGGCTTGAAGCGCCGCTGCACAGAATGATCAGTGTATGACCAAGTACCGCGAGAGCGATAAGAGAGCAGACGGATCCTTATGCTTTCAAATCGCTCTCGCGGTTTATGACATAAACTGATCATTCTGTGCACTAAGCGCTGCTTCAAATCGAATGCGCCTAATGGCAGAGGGAGGCCAGACACTAGTGCTAGTAATTAAAATTCCTCCAACTACTTTAAAAGCCGACATCTGGCCACATTTCGGCTTTTATGAAAAACCTGAGCACGACCTGGAGAAGACACAGGCTGTGTGTAAATCATGTCACGCACAATGAAATATGTAGGGGGTAGGGATGGGCAAATGAAGCCTCGTGAAGCACTGAGGCTTTTCCTCTGACTGTTTCGGGAAAAGATTCAAAGCTTTGAGCGTCTAGAAAATATAAAAATGTTATGGTGTTATGTTATGGTGGTTCATAAAAAATATAGCAGCCAAAAGCGTGTGAAAGACGCTCCGTAGGACGAGGCATCTACCACATATTCCACAGATCGATTCAAGTTACGTGCACAAATAAAAGCCTAACAGTGTGTGTGTTTGTGTTTGTTGAGTTTCTGATAAATTAATTTACCCATTAAACTGTGCAATTTAATACTAGTACAAATATCAATATGATGTAATAGAAGCATAATGTACTCAAATGAATTGCATATGACAAATGTTGAATTTTTCTGAAATAATTTGTATTCTTCATATTACTTATATGACTGGGTATCTAAAATGTAACTGAATAAGTCAGAATTAAAACTTATTCGTAAAGTAAGATCTGGGGGATCGAACATTTCGACACGCAAAGTGAATCGCGCATGTGACTGGACAGAAAGTGAAGCTTCATTTGTCATTGGTCACGTGATTTATATGACAATTAACAACACAACACAAGCTTTGAATCAAGGATTCATCTAGCACGACCATTTATTCTCGACACAAGCTCCGATGCCTCGGTTCAAATGTCACATCACTAGCAGGGGGTAATACCACTAACTTAAGAAACCAGGTCAGGTACAGTTCATGTATCTGACTGCTTGTATTTATTGACAAAATTGTATAAATGTGAAGTAAAATTTAAAATTAAGGATGCAGTGCATTGTCAATGCATTGTGATTAGTGAAAAAGTGAAAGTGAAAGTGACAGTGACGTGACATGTGGCCAAGTATGGTTACCCATACTAGGAATTAGTGCTCTGTATTTATCCCATCCTAAGTGCACACACACAGCAGTGAACACACACACACCGTGAACACACACCCGGAGCAGCACCCGGATGCATCGTGATATCGAATTGAACCGACTCGATGACATGATAATTGTAACCGAACCGAACCGTGAGACCAGTGTAGGTTCACACCCCTAATAAGAACCTTATTCCTCGGTTGGGATCGTGTAGAGCCCTTTAAAGCTGCACTGAAACTGCAATTTGGACCTTCAACCCGTTGGCCGTCATTGAAGTCCACTATATGGAGAAACATCTTGGAAAATTTTCCTCAAAAACCTTAATTTCTTTGCAACTGAAGAAAGAAAGACATGAACATCTTGGATGACATGGGGGTGAGTAAATTATCAGGACATTTTCATTCTGGAAGTTAACTAATCCTTTAATTCAATTCATTTTCATATTGTTATCCTATTTTTAATTGTCCACCATTTCTGTTTGTTTCCTAGTTTGTTTATATTAAAAATAAACAAACTTCTTTGTCATAATTATAGCAGTAATTCTGGAAGAAATATGAAGGACCCTTTAAAAATGGTGTCAGATAAAAAGGAGCTTTGAGTCAAAAAGGTTGATAACCGTTAGTTTAGATGACACGCACTTTGTTGCTGTTTAACTATTTCATATATCATTAACTCAACACACTTTCAGTGTTTCCCATACATTGATTTATTTGTGGCGGCACTCCACAATATCAAAACTGACCGCCACAAATAGATTTTCCAAAAAGCTTTGAATTCGTTGAATAAACATGAGCACTGCACGTTTCAAAATCGAAACCCGGTGCGGATGTTTTTATATCACTGTATTTCTGAAGGAAACCGACTGTCTTCAGAAAATGTTGGATATAATTTTCATTTCATCTTGCCTGTAATGCCTCATAAAGCAGCGTTTGTGAGCTCAATGCTTCTTTTTGTACAGCCGTTACCGGGGAAACCGCAATCTCTTCCACTCTAAAAGTGCCTCCTGCTGGCAGAGAATGAATTTGCATATATGCCGCCACAAACAGAGTCTAAGTCTGTGGGAAACACTGCACTTTCTATGACTTTCTCTGACTACAACAAATATGCAGCTCAACCTGTGAAAGAACAGCTCAGACGGAGTCAGCTGACTCATTTGAACATAACAAATGAGTCGGTTGAACCGACTAGCAAATTAATATCAATCAAAGTGGGATAACCTTTTAAGCTGTGTTCACACACCAATGACCTTGTCTCTGTAATGTGAAGATCCTAGTATTTTGGCTGCAATATTATTATTAGATGATTTATTTATGGTAAAACCCATGCTATCATTCTAAATTTTCTAAGAATTTGTTTTCTTGTTGCTAAAAAAAGTAATATTCTGCTGTTGAAGAGGTTTGTTACTACTACAGATGAACTAAATCTGTTTATCGTCTGTCTCACATATGCACTCAAATGAGGAAGCCGCTGACTCTAAGCTGTAATATGAAAACGTGTATTGTAAATGAGGAGCCAGATCAGGGGTTTTTTTTCTGAATGATGTATGAACACGGCAAATCACCCCTCCCGCCGCTTCCTTTACCATCCTGATCCCAGCATTATAGGGATTAAAATCTCCCATCATGCCTGGCTTCGCTCCAGCATGCACACACACAGACTGTATGTAAGACTTTATACGAGACTGTACACATGCTCATTTGAGCGCTTAGATTTAAACTGCACGTGTTGGCTTTTTATATGCTGCGCAATGCCAACACAGCAATCTGTACCTCAGACAAACTCGCTGCTATATTCATAGTGATTGAGTTTCGCTTATTATACAATCAGTGATGTAAAAGTATACACAGACTGGCCATCACATTGAGTAAAGTTCATCTCGAAAACTGTGATACCTGGTTGCCTGGGCAACAGCTAACTGCACACCTTTCTCTAGGGAGCACAGGGGAGAGGGGTGGGCGGTAGAGATGCTCTGCTAATGTAACCATGGAAACTGGCCTGCTTGGCTTTCATTGACAAAATAATCCCATCACACCAAGGCTTAGTCTTTAAAGTCCAACATTACAGAACAAAACCTTGAATTATATAATGGTAACCTTAACAGTAACAATGAATGTAGGGTTCATTAATATGGTATTATTATCTATATGGGAAAATAGTACCTTAACACTGTAGACTGCCCTGCTACCATCTGTGCCTTGTACTCCTAATGATAAACTATTGGAGGTTTATGCACTGTACAGAAATCTGACCTAATTGTTTATCAATTTAAAGACAAATTTTAGTATTTAATGCATTCTTCAAGCTTAACCTTCAACCTGGATATCAAAATTATTGTAATAATTCAAATCAATCAACAAAATCAAACAATTTCTTTAATGTTTGGGAAATTTAAGTTTACAAACTAATGTTATTCCCAATTTAACAAGCTCCTACTGAGTAATGTCTTCATTTATTACAGCTAAAGCTAAATCTGCCACCCTGTTGCAGAATGTTGCAAAAAATTTTTTATAAATATTATTTTACATTTTTATGTTCGTTAAATCTTTACTGCTAGAAAGAAACAATCTCAAAATGGATTTTTAATTGTCTTAAAAGTAGCAAATTTCAGTTATAAGAATAATTTTCAAACTTCACATTAATAAGTACAAAATAAAAGATTTCTTGTCATTTTCTAAATGTTGACCCTATTATCCCTATTATATCCTATCCCTATTATAGTTATCCCTATTTTGTGCCATTCATAGAAAGTGTCTTTATAGTGAAATGAGGCAAAGGAAATCACTTGTTTCTAAGATCTGTTTTTAAGGCGTTTGACTCATGTGAGAATAAATAATTCAGGCCAGAGTTGTTGAATCAGAATAGTACTCACTCCGAAGAATCTATGAAGTATATTCCCAGAGCTCCGATGCTGAGTGCAAAGACCAACACCACCTGGAGGGGGAGAGAGAAAGAAAAGTGAGAAAGGGGAAAGGATATCATTAGTGAAGGTCCACTGAGAACAGTACCACTTACAGAGAACAGTTTAATCCAGGAGCTGCTCAACAATGAGCACAACTCATTTCCACCCATGCTACATGTGCGGATGAGACATAATAAACAGGAAATGTTATAAAACTGATTCCAAACCTAGTGGGCTGTCAATCTAAGCACTGTTTATGAGCATCGTGGGTGCATTTGAATGCTCAAACATGCCTGTGAAGCAGTCTAGGGCAGTGTTTCCCAACCTGTTTTTAGTCGTGGCACCCTTTGGAAATTTTAACAAACTTGTGGCACCCTACAAAATTAATTTTGTCACAATATTTGAATTTCTAACTTCGATATGATCATTTGAAAAGTGTAGATATTCTGCAGAATATAATGTCATACAGATATTTTTTTATATTATTAAAAAAATGTGTCCATCAATGGTGACAATCAGTAGGCTAATTTCTAATGAAGAGACCAATTTATATGACAGATTTTAATGTAGGCTTTTATACATATGTAAACATTATTTAATTACCATTATAACTAGCTATCTCACAAATTTTTGCTCACTAATTTTGTACTGTAATTTTGGTGCAGTAGCACGAGATTTCAAACTTTGAATTGAATAAAAAATGACAAGTAAGCAGTCAGTAATAAAATAAGAACAAATAAAGAAATTAATAATGATAGCACAAATAAAAAATAACGACAGGCCTTCGAATTAAATAAATTGCTTTTTAGTTTTTCAGGTAGGTCTAACAGTAGGGTTAAGATAT